ATCACACACAGCACACCCCTCCGTGGAGTCCTCCCCCCACTCCCCGGGCGCCCCGTGGCACTCCCGCCACGGCTCCAGTGCCTCCGTCCCTGGCCACCCAGCTGCAGACAGCAGCTGCACTGCTCCATGCTCCTGGCCTCGCTCCCACCTCGCCCGTTCAGAGGCTGCCTGATGCCTCAGTACACGGGTGCTCTCCATCCTCCACAGGAACGGAAGCCCCAGGCTGGGCTTCTGCAGGTTTGTCACCTCCTTAGCCCTTAGCACGGTGCCTGGCCCACTGCAGGCACACAGCAGACCTTCTGGAATGTGAGAGGAACAGACGGTGTGGTGGCTCACGCCCCTGCGCCTGGCACCCAGCAGGCACCGAGGAACGGCCGTGAGGCCCGCACTCACCTCCCAGGAGCCTGTAGGCCATGCTGATGTTGGGGCAGAGGAACTGCACTGCCAGCTGGCGAAACTGGTGAAAGGTGCCCGGAGGCCGGTTCTCCCGAATTCGAAAGGAGGGCTCCCTGTCGGGGAAGCAGAGCTCCCGGGGTTTGAGGGAGCCACACGCCGGGAAGGAGGCGTTGATGAAGGAAAAGTAGATGCGGGCACAGCCTGGCCACTGGCATTCGCCCTCACGCAGGGGCGTGGGCAACAGGAAGACCTGGAGGTAGACGGTGAGCTGGGGGAAGCCGCCATCTGCAGAGAGAGTGGTCAGGCCTGGGGTGTCAGCCACACCTCCAGGTGGTGTGGAGCAGGAAGGGGAGGGTGGGAGCTCCAGGGGGTGTAAAGTCCAGTCCCCACTGCGGTCCTCGGGTCCTGCTGAGCTCTGACCTGGCTGTCACCTCCTGCTGCCCCCCACTGCCTGGACCTGGGGTCCGTCTGCTTCCTCTGCCTAGAGATTCATCACGGGCCAACCCTTCCTGTCAGTCAGGTCTCAGCTCAATCACTGCCCTCAGAGGGGGGCCCTGGCTGGGTCTAGCCCCAGGCGGAGGGCTTCCTGGGCCCTCCACACCCTCCCCAGGCAGCTCCATCAAGGAGCCCCAGCAGACACACGCTGTGGACAGAGTACCTTGCACCTAGAGGTGGGATCTCCAGCGAATTCCGTGATGGAGGCACCACAGTGATTCCCCTTTGAATGAGGTCTGGACCTCAGCTGGGTGGGGGACTCCTGAACCCCTTCTCTCAGCCGAGGGCAGTGGCTGCCCCTCACGTCTCCATACTCATGACTTCTCTTTGCCTCTCACTAGCCTGTGTCTTTTTGCCAGTCCCCCGTCATGGTTAGTAATTCTCTGTACAAATGTTCCCTGTTGAAATGAGTGTGTGCTTTCTCCCCTGCCGGCCCCAGCAGTGCACGGGGCTGCTCTCCTGAAGAGGTCGCCGATGAGACGGCATCCGTAGCAACTTCCACTCCGGCCTCCACCCCAAGCCCTGCTCCTCAAGTCCCCCCAGGGGCCTTGGGATGAAGATGATGGCAACTGTGTGCATAAACAAGACCCGTCTCAGATACCTCCTCCCCCAGCAACCGTCTGGGCTGCCATCCTTACTTGGGGACCCTGATTTCACTTGGCAAATGGGTGCAGTCATTCTGCTCTGCTGGGCAGTGACACCCACGGGTATTCACAGGCTGCCTGCCTCTCACCCGCACACGGCAGCTCAGGGCTGGTGTGAGGGGCCAGCGGGGACCTACTGGGTGTGCAATCACCGTTTTGTGCCACAAGGCACAACCCTGCTTGCTTCACACCCCTTCCCTTGCCTCCACCGGGCTCTGACCCCTGCTCTGAGGGCCTGGCCAGATCTTCCATCTGCTCCACTCTCCTCCCTGGCACCCAACCCAAGTCCCCAGCAGGTGCCAAGAGCAGCTTGCTGCTGATGGTGAGACAGGCTTTCTGAGAAAAGTGCTGCTTCTCCGGCAAGTGCCAGATCATTCGCTAAATGGAAACCTTGGGGTTTTCCAGCCCCTCGTAACCCTCATAGCCTCAAACCTTGTTAACCGGTAAAGGCATCTGGGTCCACTGTGGAGGGAGCACCCCATCCTTCACTCAGGTCCTTCCAAGTCCTGGAAGCAGCACAAGGCCCAGGGCCATCAGCTGCCCCAAAACTTGTCCTGGCTCCCTCCCCAGGTCAGTCTCCTTCACTCTCACACAGCAGTCCCCCTGAGCCTCAGCGTGGGTGTGCCGTGCGCGTGGGGGGAGGAGGCGGGTGGGACAGCCTTACTGCGTATGTTGAGCTTCTCCCAGGAGCTGTGGTTCAGGCTCCAGTTCAGGTAGAGAAGGCCCGTGTCCTCCTGGATGCGAATCCAGTCGTTCTCGTGCAGCCGTTTGCGGTAGGCGCCGTAGAGGTGCTGGCCGAGGCGGAAGCTGGGCACCTCATCTGGGGCGTCGCGCAGGGCATGGACGTAGAGCAGGGGCGTCCCGGCCGGTTGGTCTACGTACAGCTTCTCCCAGTAAGCGTCCCTGGAGAAGTAGAGTCCCAGCGGGGCTGCGGGGAGCAGGGAAGCGCGTGAGGGAGGGGCAGGGGCGGTGATGGAGCCAGGAGCAGGCCTCGGAGGCACACTGGCATTCCCAGCGGCTTCATTTCACACTTGGATAAAAGATTCTCATGGGCACTCATGGGATAAAAGATTCTCTAAACTCACTCATTTAAAACTCTGAACTGAGTAGGACTTTTCATCTGCAGTTCCAAGAACACTGACACACAATTATTTGTATAGTTAAACACTAGCTGAAAATGTCCTGCTTTCAAACAGAAGAAGGAGGAAAAGGCAGTCTACCAACAGCAGCTGCAAAACCATTCTCCACCACCCACGCTCGATAAGCACGTGACCCACGTGGACGCGGCTTCCCGCAGGCTTCTGAGCAGGTCACCTGGAGCCGGGGTTTCCCGTGTAGAAGACGCCGCCACACGGGCTGGGCAGGTAAGAGTCGCCAGAAATGAGTAAAGTACTTTGTCCGAAAGAAACACATTTTTATCTGAAGTTAAACACACTGCTACCATATGTCCCAGAAATTCCACTCCATTGGTCCAAGAGGAATGAAAACACACGTCCATCAGATGACGTACTCACAAACGGCAGGGTTATTCACAGCCCTGAGCCAGAAGCAGGGTGAACAGGTAAGCCGTGTTTGCCAGAGCGCGGCATCCTAGGGGCGGGCTAGCGACACACACGATGACTTGGGGCGGTCTCAGACATCAGGCCACGTGGGAGAGTCAGGCACCAACGAATACATATGGCACGATCCTAGACTGCTTTTAGGTGATAGACATCTGACTGGCTACTTGTTGGGCGGCGGGGGACGGGGGGCAGCAGACTGGGAAGGACAGGAGAGAACGTTCTGGGGAACAGAGAGGTTCCACATCCTGATGGGGTGGGGGTCACGTGGGCACATCCACTAGGCAACAATGTACAGACAAGGTGTGTGCATTTCCACCTATGTGAACGCTGCCTGAAACCCTGCTCACTGAGGGGCTGGGGGAAGAGCTGGGAATGCCATGGGGAAGGGAGATGCTGACCCCGGCCGGCGGAGGGGCGGGCCCCTGAGATCCCAGCTCCCAGGGCTACAGGGAACCCGGCTCGGGTCGGGGGAGGGCAGGTGCGGGTCCACAAGACAGCACACAGGCCTGGGCAGCCTGGGTCCTCCAGAGGCCTGACACCCCCACCGAGGTGGGGTCCTTGGGAGCACCGCGGCTGGCGACCAGGCGTATGTGATGAGAGGCAATAGAGCTGCTCCCAGCTTGCTCTGCTGGGACACACACCCTGGCCCTGGTCACTGGGTGAGAGCCCACTGCCTCTGGAGCCAGCCCACTAGGAGGGCCTTGAAGGTCAGTGGGGGGCAGGGGGCAGATGCTCTGCTCAGGGGTCCACCCGCCAGGTAGGTAGGAGCAGATCCAGTGTGGGGCTCCTCCTTTGGGGAGGGCGGCCCTCTAACCCACACTTCCAGTGGTTCAGGGGCTGGGGGGTGGGATGAGCCGAGCTCTGGGAGCCCCTACCCCCAAGCTGATCCAGCCCCCAACACAGACCACATCTGCAGGGGAGAATGGGCCCTGTCTGCTCCCGGCTCATGGAGCCCAGCCCTGCAGGATCCATGTGGGGCCCAGGCTGTTGCTGCCAAAAGGGGTTTGTGGGCCAGGCTATGACTGTGAGCAGAAACAGACCTAAATGCACTTAAAATGCCTTCCAGGTGGCGCCGGGAGCGGGGCATGCTGACTTAATGCTCCTCCTTGTCACAAACACTTCTAGATGGAAAAACATATGCTCCAGGGGCGGGAGGGAGAGGATGTGGGTGCAGGGACGGCCTCAAGGGGGTGTAGCCTGGGCAGTCCCAAAGGGCCCACACTTGGTTGAATGCACTGTTGTCACGGTCTTGAAATTCTACTCCCAGAAGGGTTTTCTTTACAAGATGTGTGCAAGGGGTGCACGCCTCCATTCTATGCTGGGCCCCACAAAGGATGCGCCCAGTCTCGGTGGGTGGATGAGGGCCTGGAAGGGCCACTGGTGTCCATTTCCATGGCCTGCAGAGTGCTGGCCTCCTCCGAGCCTCAGTTTCTCCAACTGAACCCGAGGAGGACATGCTGGAGAGAGGAGCAGCCAGTGTGGGTGCAGACAGGTCTCCCCTCTGCACAGGTGCACATTGTGTAAACCTCTCACTTTAGATTCAAAACCACAGTGTGCAGGCCCCTTTACTACCCCATTTCACAGTTAAGAACACTGGTCCTGGGAGGGGAGGAGTGTCACCAAAGTCAAACTGCTGGAGGTTCTACATCTTGGGGTTCAGCACAACAGCTAACGAAGTGGTGGTAGGAGTCGGGATAAAGGCAGGAGTCTCCCTGCCACGGAGACCCATAGAGCCCCAGACAACTAAAAATGGCAACATGAAAGCCAGATTTGGGGCCCTTAAGAAAAAGAAATTGTGAAACGGTGTGGCCCAAGAAGTGCGTGTGGTCAGCAGCAGCACCTGCATGCGTGCAGGGCAGGCCCTTCCCGCAGGCCCCTTCACCAGGCAGCCCACTCCTGCCCGGGCTGAGCGCTGGGAGGTGCAGGTAACGGTTTTATTCAGGCCCAGCAGTCTCTTTAAGAGGCGATTTCCTAATGCTATCTTTGTTGTTTATGTCTCAAGGTCCAGGCGTTCTAATAAATTTTCTTGCTAAATGTTACAATGTAGCACAGTATTTTGCAGATACAGCTGTAAACAGGATGAGCTTGCCAGGAACCCAACCAGGTAAGTGTAGCCAATTTCAAAGAAGAAATTAACATGTAATTAACCGAATGGTCTCTATAAGCAATGGCTAAGCCTCTCTTGAGGGAGACAGAGCTAGGATGTGAATTCCCTGTCTCCTTTACTTGCTGCAAGTAAATAAAACGACCTAACAACACCAGGTGTCAACATCTCAACCGGGTTGTTGGGTAACAGCTTCACTGGGAAGCAGGCAGCTATCATGGGCTCCTCCCCAGGCGGCCCCGCCCCCTGCCGGCCAGCTGTCCCTGTGGAGGGGTCCTTCCAGCCTCCAGCCAGGATCCAGGCACAAGCACTCGGCACCATCAGCCTCTCAGCATTTGTCTTGTCCCCCCACGGTCCCTTCTCCTATATCCCATTCACTACTCTCTTTATTCTAGTTGAATATTTGAGACATAGAAGGAATACATTTTACATCACATTTACCCTGAAAGTAGACCCTACAGCAAACACCATGAACCCATGGCCAGCCTTACTGGACACTAAGCTAAACTGCTGCCCCCACAACCCTCCCGTCCACTCCATCCCACTCACAGCAAACACGAACCTGGGTCTTGCCTGTCTCTTGCCTTTTACCGATTCTAGACTTACAGGGTGATCGCTAACTTATCACGGCCTGGCAGGGCTCAGTGCGTCTGCACTAAGTGAGCAGGAGAATGGGGTAGGGAGTGTCTACCTGAAACTCAGATAATACTGTATGTCCACTGTACTTGGAAAATTAAAAAAAATTTAAAAATACTTTTACCTCCTTCTTGGAAGGCAGTTTAGCCGGGCAGAGCTGTCGGTCCTGTAAAGGCAGAGCCAATGTCTTTCTCTTTCTGTGGCTGCTGAGACTCCACACTCATCCTAATGGGCACTCCCTGGCGTCTCTTCTCCAGGTGCTGTAGGACCTGCGTCTGGAGTTCTCCAGTTTCACCACGACCACCTCCCACCCCCCACCAGCTTGCTCACCTCCCATGCTCGTCTCCTCCTCTAGGTGATGGGAGCGCCTATTCTTTCTCCAAATTCTCCTGTAGCCAACGGCAGCGTCCCCAGTTCTAACTGCTACCATTGCAGACACTGCAGTGCTTGCCAGTTCACCAGCCCGGACACCTCGACCCCAAGTGCCAGATGCGTCTCGGAATCAACCGCTCCACTGCCATGGCCTAGTCTGGCTTAGAGGATGCCTTCCCCTGCTCCTGCCCCTCTTCCCACCCCAGTCAAGGCCCCTCTCCTTCCGCCCCATTTAGGCCCAACAACTCAGAGTCACCCTGAGCCCTTTCCTCTTCCACCCCTTAGACCAGCCCACAGATTGCCCTCTGCCACACCCCAGGCAAGATGCCATGTCCCCTCACCTGGACGACACCACAAGGCTCACCCAGCCTCCGTCAGCCACTCCTGACCCCACAGGCCACTTGTCACCGAGCAGCCAGGCTCAGCTGAATCATGCTGCCCCGTCTGCAGTGCAGCATGAACTGTCCACTGTTGCAGAGTAAGACACAGCTTCTCATCGGGGGTGGGGGTCCATCTGCCCCACCCCACTTCACCCCTCCCTACTCTCTCAGGTGCCTGCACCTTCCCAGCCACATTGGCCAACTCACTGATGAATGAACCAGTGAATGAATGAAAAACAAACTAAGGAATAAATGGTTTCATGAACAGGGTGGGAGGTGGCTGCACACTTTTGAGAAATGGTCAGAATTTGGGATGGAAGGGGGCGGCACCAGGGAGGTGGGGGAGAGCATACACAGCTAAGATGCCCTGGCTTGGTCTGATGGGTGGACGGCCAGCGGCAGGATGAGACACACAGAGCCATGTGCATGGATGCCCTTCTGCTCATGAGACTCACATGGGCGGAATGCCCTCTCGTGCACTGGCTGCCCTGGGGAGGCCAGCAGCTGGCGCTAAGCCAACAGCCATCAGGCTGAGGACAAAACCACTGACCCAGCTCAGGAAGCACCTCAGTGGTGATGGAGGAACCCTGCCAGCAGGTAGGTGTCAGTTAACCAAAACATGTATGCTCACACATGTACACATGTGTTCGTGCACAGGCAGGTCACACACCCCACAATCTGTGCTTTGTCCCAGCTGGAGGCTGCTTTCGCAAGGGATTGTAATGTATTTTGCTTTTAGGAAAAAAGGGGAGGCTCTGTGGCAAATAACAAATTTGGGGGGTATTTAAAAGGAATCTCATTTTAAAAATTAATCGGGGTATCCTAAGAAACCCAAAACACCAATCAGAAAAAATGTATGCACCCCTATGTTCAT